TCTGTAAGCTGTTGTCAGCTCAGCTGTCTGAGCTACAGCTTCATTTTTAAATATTTTTCACTGAAAAAATACCGACTAAGTCTCTGAATGTTTTATGTGTACAGCTACATCAGATATCATGGAAAAAAAGGAGGCTTATGTCTCGAAATTACTCAGTGTTGGCTTCACCCTTGTCAAGGGCTGGCTCCCCATACAGAAGCTGACAAGTTTAGGGTACACTAGATATGTTTCATCACTGAGAGGAATCAAGTTCTGTGTGTGTACAGAGCATGGTCTTAAAGTCAGTGATTTCACTGATAAAAAACAAAAGACATCTTTTTCCTTGAGAGCTGCAGACACCTGACTGAAAAACCCAGGGTGAGCAGGCACGCCGCAAGCGGGAGGTGCAATGACAGAGGGTAGAGTGTTCCTACTGAGCACATCCATTCTGAAGGGTCATTCAAATGCCTCTCTACAAAAAAGCCTGAATGTAAATAATGTCAACTGTCTATGAAAGCAGGGGATTTAGGTCACTGAGCAGTGTACCTTGGTTAAATTATATTATTCTTTCAAATACTTAATGTACATCTGAGCTATTCACTTTGCTTGTCTATAAAATCTTCTCTAAGAGAACTATCCACTGCTTTAGAAGGAAAAGCAAACAAATGGAGGCATGCAGTGCCATTGAATATTGGAAAAAATGTCGGGTAAGGAAGACCACACATGATCTAGCCAAATGAGAGCTGAAAGTAACTGCAAGTGACAAGATAGTGAAATGCATGTGAGCATCCCTGAGAACTGTGAAAGAGTGGGGCAAGTTTTTATTATTGGCATAAAAAAATCACCAAACATCTCATCTTTCTTAGATCCATTCTTATTGCAGGAAAAGAAAGACTGAGGGGATGATGGTGCTGGCAGAAGCAAAACCTAATTTTTTAAAAAGTGCATAAATGTTGGAAATTCAGTTACATTTCAAGCTTATGTTTCACTCTTTGGATTGAAATCAGGCAAAATTTTGCTCAAGGATCTCGAAAATGCCATGTCCTTTCTCCACAGTTTCTGGCAATTAGACCTGAACAACCAAGCCAAGGAAGCTTCTGAAATTTTGACTTTTGCCAGCCTTTGAAGGAGAGAGGAGAGCAATCTCCTCCCCTTTCTATGTTTTGAGTTTGACAACCAGATCCAATTGCAGACTTTTCTCAGGCACTGTGATCTTAGCTCTTTTAGAGGGTCTGCATAGGAAACAGGTCCCCAGAACCACACTGACCCACAAGTTGACAGAATCTCGCACAGCACCCCAGGTTTGCTGTGGAGGAAGGCTTCCCTCATTACAGACAGCAGCCTGGGACATCAAGGTAGGGCAGCAACTACCATTCAGTGTGGCATCTGTTGTGCAATGTGGCTGCTTTTGAGCTTAGAAATCCTGTAATCAAATGTATTTCAGTATGGCAAGATGCTGTTACTTTTCTCTGTTTTAGTGCAAATTGGAGATAACTCAGCTGTGGCTAAACACTTAGTGCTTTTTACTGTTTTCAACACAATCCTTTTATGTGTATGTACATCTTGCCCGCAAACATTCCTACACACTCAACAACAGATGCATTGAGGATAATTCTGCCAATTACAAAGCTACTAGGAGTGCTGTAGTTGAACTCTGAGGATAGAGCAGCCAGCTGTAGTAGACAACAACAATTTTTGACACAGCTGGTCACAGCTGATATCTTGGTTCTTGATCCACTGGGTCACCTGAATCCTGTAAGAACACTCATAATGGAAATAGTCTGAAACAGAGAAATAGTCTGAGCTCTCCTGCAGAATATATTCTTGACCCAATCTGCAATGTTAAGAAAGGGCTCTGATAGCTGCATATATTCTCTTCACTCGCAAGTAATAGGGGTGCACTGCTTGCTGGTCCTGGTCCTTGTGGTCACAGTGGGATTGTCACTGTTTTATTAGTTACTTTTGCACTTTCTGATGTTCCTGTAAAACAACATTCTGTTTCAGGAGATGTGCCTGTCAAGGAAGCAGGGAAAAGGTGGATGACATGATGAGTGGCTTCCAACACTTTGTTTATGTCTCCACGGGGTGGAAGCATTTTGTTAACTCTGCACTCTCAATGTGGATCAGTCACTGCTGCCAACATAAATAATTTCAAATATTTCACTGAGAATTGCTGCAAAGCTACAGGAGATTTTCTGCCTATATGACTGAGATTGTGTCTTCTTTGATTTCAGCTTGATTTAATTTTGTAGAAGGAGAGGCAAATACAGGATGAGTGTTAGTGCAGCCCTGCAACTTGCATTATTGATACTTCCAAAGTGTCCAGTTCAAATGGGGGCAGAATGTTAACAGAACTGAGAGTATCAGTCTAGTGGCTGAAGGACAAAAATAAGCTGCCTTTTTGATCTTTGCTGGTCAACAAAAGCATGCTTTGCTAGCTCCAGAAGTCTTTCATGTGAGAGAAAATGGACAGAGATGAAAACTCGTGTCTGATCTAACACTTTGGCAAGCTTTATTTTCTTACACCCACAGGAGAAGATTTCTGGCTTTTCAAAAAATGGACAGAAGTAAATCAGAAGTCCCTTTCTGCCATGTAGAAAGTCATTGTTAAAGTTTATTCTGTGTATAAAACCTGCTCTGTATGCAGAATTATCGGCCTTAAAACTCTACCCTCCATTGAAATTGGATTGGTCAGGAGCTCAGAGCCTCTGGGCATAAACCAGACCTCAGTTCTCTAAATGGATCACAGTGTAAGATTTAGAAAAATATTTACTATACTTGTCATCAATTTTCTGGCATATTTTCTTTGGAGAAGCTGGATCAGGCAGAGCTCGAAGCCTGATTCATTTCTCTAACCACTGACTTGGAGTACATACACCTGAAACTGAGCAAGTAATTCAAAATAATTTTTCAGATAAATTAATTTTCTTATTTATTTTCTGCAGGTAGAAAACCTGTGAGCAAGTAATGAGTTCCATTAATTCACTAATTGTTTGAACGTACTCCACATATTCTAAGTGATATTTTTATTACTTAGAATGGAGTGATTGGAAATTATTTGTTGAGTTATTTGCATTAAATGTCTGTCCCTGCTTCTATGAGCTTTACTGTCATTGTGAAGATAAGAAGATGAGAAATCTCTGAGTCTTTTGTATTTTCAGACAATGGGAACAGATTAGGGATAAGGAAGAGAAAATGAAGATTAGGGGATTTTAGAAAAATAAACCTGTGTATTGCTGTTGGTTTTCATGTCAGAAAAAAATAGACTTTTTTTATTGTGGTACCTTTATTTCTGTCATGTTCAGAACCCCTGTAAGGATCTATTATTCTCTTTGGGTCACACAGGTAAGGCAAAGACAAACACTGCTGCCCTAGACTGTAGCACAGTGCAAAGCAAAGAGCAAGAGAGAGAGTTTCATGGAAGAGGGGATGTCCAACTCAAGCTTCTCCTCTGTGACATTTCTCAGAGTAAGTTGTATTTCAGATTAGTAGCCCTTGGCAGTAGTCTGGAGAAAGATGAGATTTTAGTGTGATATGCTACACAGGCATGGGGGGAAAGCAAAGAGTATGTGCGAAAAATTGAAATGACAAGGTCATGTTGATAGCTTGGTTGTGGGAGCTGCCGCGGTAGTTTGTTGCATTATGATTAGAGATGGGCCAGCTAGCAAGAATGAGATGAGAGCTGGTTCAAACCTTCATCCACTCCTCTAACCAGACTGAAGTGGGGCCCATGGTGAGGCTGAAACACATCTAGCACTGGTACATTTGGTTTCTCAACATGATTTAATGAGCTTCTGCTTCTGATAATTTAGCTCAGAATAGAAAACAGGAATCTAGAAAAATATTCAGGAAATTAATCCAGTCTAAAATCCTTCAATCTGGAAAACCTGATTGTATAAAACCGTATAAAGACAACTTCATACCATTCCCAGCCTTCCATCTGTAACAAAGAGCTCCACATCCTAGTTAATAACCATCCTGTTAACAACATGAAACAAAGTCTGCAAAGCTTTCAAATTTCAACACAGGATCTTTTTAATTATGAAGCCCTCAGATGAGATGCCAAGCTTCTGTCAGAGGCTGAGTGTGAGAGTAGTCTGTGTATGAGGACTTGCAGTGGGAACTGCACTGAGCTGAGCGTACAATCCTTCTGTCAGCCCTTTCTCTTCTCTTTGGCTTTATCCTGTGGGAAGTAGCTTTACATTCCCATTCAGACTACAAGGGATTCTGCGAAAGCTGAATTTCTGCACTGGCCGTGCTTATTCTGCAGCGTGTGTCACACTCCCTGCGGTGAGGGCTAAGTTCTCCCCATTTTGTGCAGCCTCTGTCTAATGCAGACAAAATTCCTCCTTCCCACAAGGATTCCAGGAGAAAGCAAAGCAGAGAGCAAGGGCAAGTGAAGACAAGCAATGCAGTTTATCTTGGACTCCCTATTTTGAAACACTCACCAAATTCACTGAAGTAATAGTTGTGATTTGGTTGAATAACAAAATCCATATCCAGCCCATTTCTCAGAGTGCAGTCAGCAGTGCAGGATTCTTCTCTTCCTTTTGCCTTAATAATGTCACTGCTTAGTTCTTGGTTACAGGTATTCATGATGATACGGTGGGGCAGAAATACACAGGAGTCCAGAGTGTTTTGAAGTGGCTCTAGGAGTCACTGAAATAATGACCTATATTGGTATAGGAAACTTTTTTCCTGTCCATTTTCATCCTCAGTGTGCTTTACAGACCTGAGAGCTGCATCTCTTTGAACTGTGGCAATGCAGAGCAGAAAGCAGCTTCTCCAGCTGAGGCTGCAGGGAGCACTCTGCTACGTGAGGACTGGAGGGATAAGCAGAGTTTCTCACCCAAATCTGGATGAAGGATTGCACGTTAACATGCTTTCCCTTTCTTCCCCTCCCTTCCACTCCCCTCCCAAAAGTATCTGGCAGTGAAAGAAGGTAACCAAAGACTCCTTTTCTCTTTTACTTGGAGGTAAATCAATCTGACCTACCACTTAATGAAATCTCTTTTTTACAGGATGAAGGAAGCAGATGGGAAAAACAGAGGAAGAAAAGAAAAAGGAGACTTTCGTCTTCATGTGTAAATTTTCTGTAAGGAAAATAAAACTTGAAATTAGGCTTCCCTGTGATTTTAAAATGTATAGTTTATTATTTTTCCCCAATTATTTTCTTAATGGCTGGGCTTCCATAGTCTAATAAGTCACTGCACTTAAAAGGACCCTCTAAGAGAGGTGTTTGGATTTTTTAACCAATTATCATCCATTTCTGCAGATTAAATAATGCTTCTGAAAACATGATGCAAGGCCTCAGAATACTGTCCACTGATACCTGCAAACCAAGTCCAATTAACTCCTTTACTCGATACTTTTTTGACTTTGTAGTTATTGCAGTCTTATTTGTTATTGTAAAAAATTTACTCCTATGGGAAAAATCAGGGGCATTATATGGCTGTCTATATAATACATAAATAATGTTTTCTTTTTCAGGGAGTTTAAAGACACATGACTTCGATGTTACTGAGATTGTGTCATAATCATCAAACGGAGCCCGTGCCAAACAAACCAGATGGAGCTTTCAATCAACAAGCTGCATTTATTATTGATATCTGTGGCTTATTTGTTATCCATGCACCTTTTAACAGCATAAGGTAAGAAAAAAGATCTGCTCCCAGAGAATAAAGAGAACTATTAGAAGCTCTCACTTATTATTTGACCTGACAGCACAAATAGATGATGGGAAAAAGTCGAAGTACAATGCCCAACTCCAAGTGGAAGGGATTAATTTGATGCTTTCTGCTGGAGCAGAGGGTGGCATGAATGATTATTTCATCCTCCCATACTATGAAAAATTTCAGAGCAATTTTATTTATCTGTGCACATATTACTCCTTAATTATTATTACATTGCTATTCTAGCAGATTGTTTTTGTCTCTTTCCAAGAACATATATAATTTTATTGAATATATAGCTTTGTGTCTATATCATATTGCTTTTATATATGCCTTTGTATATACTATATTACATTTTACCTGTAGTATGAAAGCGACAAAATTAAGGAGTTTGATAGGTAACCAATACATGTCACTTTTTTGTACGAGGCATGGCATAAAAAAGTCCTATAGCTGTGACTCACTTTGGCCTTCTAGAGACATAGGGAGACATACGGAATACATATATAAAGAAAAAATAAACTCTTATTTAATTGCTTTTGTTTTGATTTTTTTTCCAAATGCCTCATTTCTATCTCCTTTTTTTTTAATGGTAGTACCTGTCTTTTCTGCTAAGTAAAGATGGATAATCCAAAATAATACTCCCTCAAGTTTCTTTTAGCATTTGAATGTATGAAGACTATTGTATGAAAAATTATGTTGCTTCTCTGAAAGTTGTTCAGCCTTGTGCGTAATTTCCTCTTATCTTCTCTTCATTCACATGTGTTCTCCTAAGAGAAGAAAAATATCTGTTTGTGGCCTAGGATGTATTTTTGTTACTGAGACAGATAGAAATTCTGTATGCCAAATGTTCTCATGCTTATAGAGAAAAAACAACCCCGTACATTCCTTCCCTGCACTGTACAACTCCCTTTCAATCATATCCTTGCACTCCTATAACTTCTGCCCCACTTGCATGAGGCTGCAGGCTTAGGTTGGAGCCGCTTCCTTTGTCCTTCTGAGTATAAAGGAGTTAGAACACAGAAACAAGGATTTTTCCGTTTTGATTTCCTAGACAAAACTTTTGAACAAGATCTGGATTTTGCCTTACTGTGTGGAATGGGAGTAGAATTTCATGGTAAAGAGCTGAAAGAATTGTAAGGAGAGGTTTTCATACCTGATGCTGTAAATAGATTTAATATATCAGTGCACTTCATATGATATGTGATTTTCCAATAAAGTTTATAACCGATGAAAGACTGAGTTTAAGACTAACATATAAGGACTCTTCCACAGATTTTTCAGATTCTGCATGAGAAGTTAATATCTGAGTATGGGAGAGTCACCTCTGTGGATTGATCTGGTGGCCCAGTCCAGCACCACTCACTTCTCCACACCCAGCACTGTAATCAGCAAGTCTCTACACAGAGCACAAGAGTTAAGCAATCAGGATGACTTAACTATCAACTTGACCTTTGAGATCCCTTCAGAACAGGTTTGATCCACACTGATTTACTTTATCCTTCAAACCATCAGATCTGTATTAAAACCCTGATTGACCAGAAGTAATTATTTGATGCCTTATGTTAGCAATGTCCCAGGCCCCAACATGAAAACTGAGGATGAAAGTCACACCTTAGAAAAGTCAAAGGGAGGATTACTTTCAGTGGAACTGGAATTTTGCCCAGAAAACCATACCAACAGTGTTTGGGTCCTATCTATGTCTGAAGGCATGTCAATCTTTCTGTGGTGCCTATCATATTATGTAAAAGGTATCTCACAAGCTACTCTGATATATTTATTTAAAAATAGGAGATTTTATTGAAAAAAAAGAATACAGGAATGGCATAAATGTTGTACTGGTTTGCTACAAAATGCTGCGTCACCTGATATGATAGTTATATTGTTCTGTCATTCCTTTGCTAATGAAAGTCTTCACTTATTCGTATATTATTTTTTACTGAGCATGAGGAATACATAGGGGGAAAAAATGCAAAATTAGCATTAGACATTAGTGATAATTACCAACATTTCCATGGATTCCCATAACTGCTTCTTAGTAACTTTAGTCATTTGTTTTCCTCTCTTAAATTTCCTTCTAAGGTCATTTCTATAACCTGCCACTTTCTGGGGCAGATGAATCAGCTGCCTTTGCAACTCCCTGTTTTGTCTCTAGGGATAGTTTTCTACCTATATTTTGATCCAAGCAGGTTGGAGTCTTTCCAAAAGCTGCTGAAAAACAAGACCTCTCTCAGTCATGTAGGGGAAACACTGATATACAGTTAACTCAGTATACATCAAGCATTAGGTAACAAGATTTCTAGGCCCATGCTAAAAATATATTTTGCTTATTCTGATTTGATTCTAATTATGTACTTTGCTTAGGAGACAGTCTATAAACAATTTTAACTACTCTCACCTATGTACCTACCCAAGACACTGAGGATGGCCTACTGCAGAGTACTAGGACATATATGGATATAAATTTCTAAAAGTCACAGAATAATACTCAATAAAATTAAAAAAAACAAAGCATTGGCCTGTCCCATGTATAACTTTGTTACTGAATTTTATACAAACATGGTGCTCCAGGTATGACAAAGTGTGGACATTCACAGACAGGACACTTCCTCCAAAGCCAATTCCTATTTGTGACATACAAAACCAGCGAGGTTTCTTCACGTATGATTTTTCCTGTCTACCCAGAAACAGAAAGAAATACAATCTAACATCTGCTGGAAGAAAGAGATTTCAAATTTAAATAGTCAGCTTGAAATAGTAGAAAACTTACAATTGGTCTTGAACAAAAAAGAAATAAAATATGTTATAATTTATTATTTTTGGTACTAGGTATATAAACATATATACTACATATAACATAATGCATTGCATTGTAATAATACAATATACAATATAGTAATTTACATGTTTTTCTATTCTATACTATACTACAAGAATAATATATAGAAAATATTCCATATCAATTTATATATATTTTAAAGAGTATGTTAATATAAACTATAAAGAATTTATTAACTATGGTCATATATATGAATATGATATATTCATTTATATAATATATTCTCACACTTCCTGATGAATTATTCCCTCTCCTGGGCAGGATTTCTAGGATATTATCACATTATTCAAGTATGGATACATTCTGCAGGCACCAGTTGTTCACTGAAGATACCAATCACAGAAGAAAGTGGTATAGAAACTCATATTGATGTTTTGCCTTTCCAAATGAAGTGGATGACAGCAAAGCATAATTCAAGGTCTGGTTGCCAACATACTCAATTAAGCAGAATTTGGAGGAGGAGAGGAAGGAGGAGGGGATGGCTGGAAACTCCCAGTCATACTACAAATGTCAGCTATCTGCTGTCAGAGACCTGGTGACGTTGAACCAAACTGTGAAATATGTGTAATTCTTCAAATATTGCTGATGATGTAGCACCAGATTTTTTTTTCCATGTGCATGTGACTGCTTTTGACCATGACAGGTTTTCATAAATCTGGTGTCATTATGGAACACATGACTTGTGTCACCACTGCTACAACAAGAGAAATCCATCACAGATCAAAGTGCCAGGAAAAGTCCTGTTCACAATATAAGCCCCACTTAAGCTTTCCAAATACAGCTTGAGTGGAATTTAAGTGGGCCATAGGCCATGTTTTTGCTCCTATAGACAGGCATGAATTTTAGAACATGAAAATACATTAAAATACGATGTACTTTCTCACGTAACTTGAAGCTATCTGATGCCACAAGGCCATTCAGACCTAAATATCTTTGCCAGTATTTTACCTTGAATGCCATGTTAATTTTTGTAGAATATGAACCTAAACAATAAAACTTTCCAGCATTATTTTAATATTAGACTTTCAACCTACATACTATATTAGATCTGTCTGAACAGAGCTGTCTTTAACCTTCTCAGACCACAAGATTTTTGAGCAAAGATCATGCTTATCTCCTTGTTTATGTGTTGCCAAGACTGTTGCAGGCTACAAAAAAACTTTTCTACTGTAAGACATTTGTTGAACTCAAAACCCCTCATTTATTATATAACCCTCTTATTATCTCAATATGTAGTGTGTGTATATATAAAGATATAAATATATATGTATATAAAGTGACATATACATATATATATATATATATATATATATATATATATTTGCTTATAGGAGAGTGATTGTGTTACTTCACTGTAATGCTTCCTGACTTAAGCAGCCTCTTCATTTAATACTACATTCTTTTTTTCCCTTCCCAATATATAAATGTAAAGCTAACTGCTATTTTTAATGTGCCTTTTATAATAAGCAAAAGTTGTCGACACTTTAAAATAACTATACAGTCAAAAAAAAAAGTAACAACTAATTTAAAGCCTATAGAGACATTTATGTCATCCCATTCTTTGCAATGAGAAAAATCCTTTTTGTGATTGATTTCAGTAGATTCCAGCATTTGCTTTCTTTCCCAAAATTGAAACACTTTGATTTTACTAATACTTTTTTTAATGCATTAAAGTAGGAAACTCTGTACCTCTGTAGGCCAACAATCCCCACTGAGATGCTTTGAGTTGGCTGTGTGATCCTAATGATCATTTTTATTCCACTGCTATTAATTTCCCCTTATTTCAATAAAACAATAGAAAATAAAATATTCTGTTCATCAAGGAACATGTATCTAATTTCATATAATATTTCACTTCAAATTGTCTCATATTATTCTCTCTGATTCTGTTAAAAAAATCACTATAGTGGGAGAAAGTCAAACTAGAGATTATATTAGGCTCGGGCAAATGGTATTCACCTTTTATAGTCCCTATGTTTTATAATGAAGATACTTCATTGAAACAATGATGCATACTTCAACAGTTCCCTGGAGAGCAGTGAATCCTGTTTGGAGAGATTCATGAATATGTGCATTAGCACAATCCAACTGGAACTTGCCCTTAAAAACGAACCACGAGAGAAGCTGATCAGTTCCCGCTTATGTATATAATCAGAAGGTTATCATATTATCTCCCCCTCCACAGGGAAAAGCAGATGCATATTCTTCTACCACTATAAGAAGAGAAATGCCAAAGGAAACAACAATACCCCCCTTCCACGCTTTCAGCAATGTTTACTCTATGAAACCAGAAAGACTTTTTACAACAAGAGGAGGGGCTTCACTAAATGAGGATTTATTTTCCATACAATTAGTCAGAGTGTAAACCTTTTAAAAAAAATTACATCTGCATTAATTTAGTCAAGGCCATCAATAAACCAGAAGTGAGTTCAAAGACTGCTATAAATGGCAGAGAGATGAGACAAACATTTCACAGAGTCAAGGTTTGCGAAGATATACATGAAGCTCTGTGTCCTGAAGATGAATGAGGAACACTTGGCAGTTCTTGAAGCAGTAGTTTATTTAAAGTACAAAAAATTCAGTGAAAAATACTTCTGGCCAGCAGTTGGTGCCCAGCTTTCAAGAAAAATGGCAGACCACCACCAAGCTAGTGACAATGATAAAGAATAGTCACATAGATTTGCAGATTTATCTTTAGGTTTGTAGCAACCTCAGCTCCGTGAAAAAGCATGTAGCAGTGAGGCTCCTTACCACCTTTGAAAACAAACTAAAAAGAGCTGCTGCCTTATCATGGTGCATATTATTAAGTAGTCATTACACATACCAGACAGTAGCAATAAACTTTATCATCCAAAATGAGCAATCATTTGATCTAAGCTTGGAAAGATTAAATAGTGCAATGAAACCAGAAGGAAAAAACTAAATTATGAATCAACTTCTGGATAAAACATACCACTGCCTTATTGCCACCTCTTCTATAGCCCTTCAATCTGTATCCATTATATTGGTAGTTAATTGTCCTAAATACAAAATAGATTTTGCTTAAAAAGATGCCTTCAATTTTATTATGGTTAAGAAAAATTCTGATGCCACTGACTGACATGTTTAATTTAAGTTGTCCTGAAGTCATTACTAAGATGTCTGTGAAAAATTTGGATTAACTCTTGCAAGACATAGCTTCATGTCACCAAAGGCTACAGAGGCTGTAGCTTTTTTTTATTTTTAGGAATTTTTTCAGTTATGTATCAGGAGTCCAGCCTTGTATTCTGCAGCCCAAAGTTCCTGCATTCAAAAGCTTTCTGTATGTCTGTAGTATTTTGTGTGCTGGAAGCAAAAAGCACTGCATCTCTACGTACCAGCTTGTCTGCTATTAGGGGAGAAGCATTATGCCTTCTAAATAAGATATATAGAGAAAGCATAATTATACCCTCTAAAGAGGGTATAATCTCATAATTGTGCAGCAGAGTTATCCTCAGATTGCACCATAAACCATTCTTGTATGCCTGATAGACTAACACTGGGCTCAGCTACTAGTCTGAGGGTATTTGTACTTAAAAGCTGGTTTAATATTGAACATGTGTGTACTTATATGTTGGTTCATGTATACGAAGTACCCTATTTGCTAAAACAGACCAGCCTATCTGGTTAGTTTTTATTCACATGCACGCAGATATAGAGAAACCAAGCACTTAAAACACTCAACTGTAATTTTTTTTTCCACAGCTAATAATGGCTCTTCACCACAAAAAAGAAAAACACTTTTTTAAAATGCAGTGGTGGGGGGAAAGGCTAGCAGGTTTATTTTGCTTAAGTTGCTGTGGTGTGTCACATTCAGCTCTAAACACGGCAGCTATTACCATATGTCATCAAATAACCAGCTTAAGCAGCTGTGTTGTTCCTCCACAGTGACCCCATCTAGAAGTTTAGAGACCAGGAGCAGGATGATACCTATTTCTAGCCCCACACAGTCATGCACATACCTCTGCACAGTTCAAGAAAGTTTTTAAATGAAAAGAAACATTTCACCCTACTGAATACTTCACTGCCCCTCTGTCCTGCTTTTGCAGGATGCATCATTGCACAGAAACGTTTGCCAAATATATGGCAAAACCATTAAATTCTGATGTTTCTCTGGATGCAGTAAAGATACAACACAACAACTACATATATATATTTATATCTATATATCCTTTTGTTCCTGCTGTTTGCTGAGTTTTTGAACTTGTGCAAAAAGCAGTTTTCACCAGTGTAACAGTGGTGTTTAGTGAAGACAAAGCTTGTTCATCACAGCAGGGGGACAAAGGGGAGGGGAACGAAGGTCAAAGGGTAAATTCCAATTGCTGAGACATGTTTTTATGAGTTGAATCTTAACCATGTGATAAGCAGCATTCAGAGTCTGAGCAAAATGGAGTAAGGAGTTTTACTTATCTGGGAGAACATCACGAACCACTGTAGCAGTTTGATACCTGGCTGACAAAAGCTGGGTTCTTGCTTTCCTCTGGTTGCTTTCTCTTTTTGTTCTAGTTGTCAAATGGAGTGTTCTTAGGTAATTAACATGTTCCTTCAGCCTTTGGAAATTGAGAGGAAAATAAGTGCTTGGTTTCTGCTGTATGCATGGCAATTACTGCTGCTTCACAGAGTGCCTTTGATTCCAAAGATACACAAAAGGTGCTGGTGCTATCTTTTTGGTAGAATCAACATGAAAAAAAAAAAGAGGCTCCCCTTAGATACAAAAACACTGTGGGCAGGAACTGCAAACACTCTGTGTGAAGGGGTAACAGCAGCAGCTGCGCCAAGGACAGGTGTAGCAGATTTTCCACTACCTCTTACACAAATAAGATAGGATAAACTTTTGCCCTCTTGGCAGATCCTTTTCCTGGAGGTGGGCAACCTCCTTCTCATCTTAGTCTGTTTTCTTGCTAGCTACATGGTAGGAGTGCAGGAATCCTGCATCCAGCTAGATGGTGTTGGGAATATCCTCTTGTAGGATGGATTCATTACATGTAGCTGTGCTGTGACTGAACTGAGGAAGATCTGCTAACCACTATTTCTGCACTATCTATTGGTAGCTGAGCCACAGGACCACAAAGATGGGATTTTGCTAAGCAGAGACCCCATCCCTGCTGAAACTCCCTAAAAATATGTCATTAGAAGAATTTAGTTAACTGAGTATAAAAAGTAAGCTGGTTGCTCCATATCTGGCCTTGCTAAATCAATTTCTGTGCTGATATTATTGTTACATATAAATGAGTACATCTACACCAGTTTATGCTTGCAAAATATTAATCTGTTGGTTTTGTACAAGTTGTAGGAGTACTGCCAGTGATACCACAAATTAGGCCAAACAAAAATAATGAGCTGCTTAAATGTTGTGTTACTATATATGAAAGAAGATTTAGAAAACAAGGTCCGGTCCTTGTCCTGTTCTTAAAGCTCTGTGAACACTGACAGTAATTTAATACAACCAGAACCCACCCACACTGTTTGATTCCTGTGTTTTGACAGACAATTTACCAGTTCCTCAGTTGCTCTAAATCTGCAGTTTCATTTCAGTCACTGGAGCTACATCAGTTTATTCCACTTATGGACCTGATCCAACACCTTCAAATAGCTACAGGAGGAGAAGATTTCTGCCTATTTTGTCCTGCTTTACAGCATCTGATCCCTATGTTTTCTCATATAACAGATATGACATAATTTCCCCACCAATTACTGTTACAACTACCATAAGTGGCAGAAAATATGTCATGCAAGTGTGATCCTAAAATAAGCACCTCAAATCAGTAAATGTTACTGACTTTTAAGGACAATTCTCTTGAGTTTAAGTTTATAGGATTATTGCTGAAGTTTGTACAGTGGTGCAGTACAGTCTGTTTCACTTCAACAGTACAATTTATTAATGGGAGTAACTGAAATGTATCTTTTGCCTATGAGCAGAGCTGTAACATTCACATCCAAATACTGATGATGTCACATGTCCCCTGAAGGTCCACATCTTTCTAAGTGCTTCAGGGGAGATAAGAGAGATTAACAGCCTGAAGAAATAGTCCTACTATGAGCTCTCATGTAAGCTTCATATTTGTCCTAGAAGAATTAAAGTGTAGTAATGGGGCATATTTTTCCACTTCTTAGGTTTTCATTGCAGTATCTTTCTTCTGTACCGCTTGTATAATTGAGTTTCCCTGTTTTGGAATGGGTTCACTTGACCCCAGAATAACCTAAAATATTACTAAATTATTTTCACCATTTTCTAAGGAAAAAATTAT